TTGCGCTTGTCCGCGACACCTCTGCGGACAAGTTCTTGCCTCGTGCCATCCCCTGTGTCTTCCTTGGTTTCCCGGTAGACTCTCCCGACTACGCCTTTTACCACCCGCTCCTCTACCAGTTCCTCGACTCCCGTGACGTCCGTTTTGACGAGTCTGTGTCCTACTACGCTCGCTACCCCTATCGAGGTCTTCCGATCCCCCCCCCTCCCCTTTTCCTCGCACCCTCTCCTCCTCCTGCTCCCGCTCCTCCAGTACCCCCGCCCCCCCTGTCCTGCCCCGTCAGGTGTGTCTCACGCTACCCCTCTACCCTCGGTCGCGCGTCAGGTAGCATCTCCCTCCCCGCAGTCCCACACTACCGTGTCCGTCCCTGTCCACCGCGTGCTCGTCCCTCATCCCCCGTCACCGACCTCCGCACTGCCCTCCTTTGTTTGTCTCGTTGTCGTTCTCCACTTGTGTCCGTTCTCCCGTCTCCTCCTCTGTCCTCTCTTCCTGTCGCTCCTACCCCTATCTCTGACTACAACCGTGCTGCTTGCCCTGTTGTCTTACGTGTCCTCGCCTCTCTTGTCGACGACCCTCGTGCCTCTCCGTCGTCTGTCTCGGCTCTTACTGCTGCTGTTTGTAACTTTGTTGTCACCCGCTGCCTCGACTACGCCACGCGTGTAGTGGCTGCTCCACCTTCCCATCCTCTGTCCGTCGCGGGTGAGTTTGCCCTAGGCTGTGACGTCCTAGAGGATAGGCAGTTCGAGCTGGAGTTCTTGGCAGCCGCTTCTCCCTCTCTCTGTGCCATGCTGCTTTCCCTTGAGGGAGACCCCGACGCCCTTGACATACTGACTCCTCGCACGTACCATGAGGCAGTGTCAGGGGAGTGGGCCTCTCAGTGGAAAGCGGCTATGGACTCCAAGTTAGCGTCTTGGAGATCCACAAGCACGTACGTCGGCGCAGTTCCCCCTCCCAGGGCGAACGTTGTCGATGGCATGTGGCTCTTCAAGGTGAAGCGGCCGCCTGGATCACCGCCTGTGTTCAAGGCGCGCTACGTGCCTAGGGGCTTCAGTTAGCGTGAGGGAGTTTACTTCTTCCATACCTTCGCCCCGACCCCGAAGATGACTACTCTTCGGGTGGTACTGCACGTAGCAGCACAGCGAGACTACGAGCTGCACTCCCTTGACTTCTCCACTGCGTTTCTACGTGAGGAGATCTGGCTGCGGCATCCTCCTGGCTTCACTGACACCTTCCCACCTGGGACCCAGTGGAGCCTGAGGCGACCAGTCTACGGTCTCCGCCAGTCGCCCCGTGAGTGGCACGACACTCTTCGCTCCACGCTTCGTGACCTTGGGTTTCGTCCTTCTTCTGTCCACCCGTCGCTGTTTGTTCGTACTGGTTCCACTCCTTTCTTGATAATTGTCTATGTCGACGACTTGGTCTTTGCTACAGCACACAGAGTAGCTCTGGCTTAGGCGAAGTCCGAATTGCAGAAGAGACACACTTGCACTGACCTCGGTGAACTGCAACGCTATCTTGGCTTGCAAATCACCAGGTACAGAGCCGCTCGCACCATCACCTTCTTGCTCACCGACCTTGGTGAGCGGCCTCGCTCTGCACCGAACTTGTACGCTGACAACAAGGCCATGATCCTCCTATGTCGAGAGCCTCGACTGGAGAGCAGAGTGAAGCACATTGACGTGAGGTACTTCTCCTGCGAGAGTTGTTGCGACGCGTCTAGGCACGCTTGGACTTTGTGGCCTCAGAGGCCAACACTGCCGACGTCTTCACCAAGGCCATGGTGCCTGGTGACCACCACAGGTTCTGTGTGTAGCTAGGGCTTGTTGAGGTAGACCCTCGGTTGCTGTAGCTTTCTGTTTGCTTTGCTTGCTTTATTTCTATATATCCTAGTGAACTCTTGAACTGGCCTTGTGGCCTCTTGTTTGTGCTCAGAGTGTGTGGTGACTAAGAGCGCCACCCTGAGCTTTTTTTTGTTGCTTGCTCTTGACTGGTCTTGTGACCATTTTTTTGTCACTTGTTTGTATCCTTGATGCCCCTCACTTAGCCTATGGGGGTGTGTCAAACTATGCTATATAGTTCAGATAGGCTGTATTGAGTTGCATTCTAGGGGGCACACAAACCCACTTGATAGTCTTCTTGTACCCCTCCCCCTTTACCCTAATCTACGATTCCGCTCGCTAGTCAAGTTACTAGTCTCTCAACTTAAGAATGTGCAACTTCCATCACGGGACATTGTTGGCTGGCTTCTTAGGCCTGTTGTATCTCACCGTTTGCCAGGGCTGTCTCAGGGAAGTTCTCAAAACCTTGTGCAGTGAAAACAGACATGGTTCAAACTCTTAAGAACCTAGTTACTTGAGTAGCGAGAGAATGATGAGACTAGGTCAAAGGAGGGGATACAACCAAAGTGTCGAGAAAGTTTTGTACCCCCTAACAAGCAACTCACAAGAGCATATCTATATCTACAAACATAGTTTGACACACCCCTATAGGCTAAGTGAGGGGCATCAAAACAAGCATGACATGCATGTGGTCACAAGACCAGTCAAGAAAAAAAACACAGCAAGCTCAGGGTGGATCACGAAGTCACCACACATTCTGAGCACAAACTAGAGGCCACAAGGCCAGTTCAAGAGTTCGCAAACAAATATAGAAGTACAGCAAGCAACAAGAGACAAGATAACTAAAGCCAAGAGCCTATGTCAACAAGGCCTAACTTCAAACAGAACCTGTGGTGGTCACCAGGCGGAAGGGCCTTGGTGAAGATGTCTGCAGTGTTGGCCTCTGAGGCCACGAAGTCTACGCGTGCCTGACCATGTTGCTGCAACTCTCGTAGGAGAAAGTACATGACGTCGATGTGCTTCACTCTGCTCTCCAGTCGAGGCTCTCGACACATGAGGATCATGGCCTTGTTGTTAGCGAAGAAGGTCGGTGCAGAGCTCGGCCGCTCACCAAGGTCGGTGAGCAAGAATGTCAACCAGCGAAGCTCCTGCGCAACCATGGCACCGGCGTAGATCTCTGCCTCAGTAGACGAAGCCACAGAAGACGACCGAGTAGACCTCATCGACACAGCTCCAGCGCCCAAGCTGAAGCAGTAGCCCTGAGTGGACCTCAGTGTCTCCACGTCGTTGGCGTAGGAAGAGTCGCAGTGACTAGTCAGTACAACTGGCTGTGTCCCTCCAAGCACAAGTCACATGCCTGATATAGTCGCCAGGGTACTTCACCACCCTCACAGCAGCTGTCCAGTGAACAGGACGGTGTCTCCCTGTTGCAACAAAACGAGAGAGGACGCTGAGGGGAAAATCGAGGTCCGGACGAGTACAAGTCATCAGGTACATGAGGCAGTCCACAAGCTCAGCGTAGGGACCACTAGACTCAAAAGGCTCGTCGAGAAAAGTGCCGGTGAGTCTGTGGTCAATGGCAAGAGGAGTGGGCTGTGTGGTGGAGTGCTGAAGCCCGAACCACTGAAGGACCTGCCGCACCATGTGTGAGTGTGATGGTGCGAGCGGCTCTGTCCCTGGTGATCTGCAAGCCAAGGTAGCGGCGCAGCTCACCAAGGTCAGTGCACGTGTGTCTCTTCTGCAGTTCGGACTTCACCTCAGCGAGTGCAGTCCTGTCTGCTGTAGCAAAGACCAAGTCGTCGACGTAGACGAGGACGAAGAAGGGTGTGGGCTCAGAACGAACGAACAGCGACGGGTCGGCGGACGAAGGACGAAACCTGAGGGCAGCAAGAGTAGTGCGCAGCGTGTCGTGCCACTCACGGGGCCCCTGGCGGAGACCGTGGACTGGTCGCCTCAGGCTTCACTGGGTCCCAGGCGGGAAAGTGCCAGTGAAGCCAGGAGGACGACGCAACCAGATCTCCTCGTGCGGGCTGCCCTGGAGAAAGGCGGTGGAGAAGTCGAGGGAGTGTAGCTCGTAGTCTCGTTGTGCTGCAACGTGAAGTAACACCTGAAGAGTCGTCATTTTCGGGGTCGGAGCGAAGGTATGGAAGAAGTCAAATCCCTCACGCTGACTGAAACCTCTTGCCATATAGCGTGCCTTGAAGACAGGCGGCGATCCAGGCGGCCGCTTCACCTTGAAAATCCACATGCCGTCGACTACGTTGGTCCTGGGAGGGGGAACTGCATGGACGTAAGTGCCTGTGGATCTCCAAGACGCCATCTCTGAGTCCATGGCCGCTTCCACTGAGAGGCCCACTCCCCTGACACTGCCTCACGGTACGTGCGAGGAGCCGGAATGTAAAGAGCGTCAGGGTCTCCCTCAGGGGAAAGCAGCATGGCACAGACAGAGGGAGAAGCGGCTGCGAAGAACTCCAGCTCAAACTGCATGTCCTCTAGGACGTCACAGCCAAGAGCAGACTCACCCCCGACGGACAGAGGACAGGTAGCCACCACACGCGCGGCATAGTCAAGGCAGCGGGTGGTAGTTAAGTCACCGACAGCGGCAATAAGAGTCGAGACAGACGACGGAGAGGCACGAGGGTCAGTGAGAGGAGAGGTGAGGACATGAGAGACAGCAGCGCAGCACGGTAGTAGTCAAAGATAGGAGTAGAGGAGACAGTGAGAGACGACTCAGGAGGTGGCGGGAGAACAGAGACGTCACATGCCGTCGACTACCACACTGCATCAGCAAGCCAGACCACATGTTAGGAAACTTGCTTTGACATGTTACATACGACACAATAGGGTTTTCCATCATCGAGCGAGCTTGCTTCAGAAGTAACATATGGCATTTCCTCTCAGCAGATGACTAATTTAGAAATTAACGTCACGAAGCGCATTGAATAGATAAGATCGTGTGGAATATTGAGTGACCTAGGCAGCAAATCAACAAAATGTTGACTACAGAAGCACAATGAGACTCTTTATTGGGGACGGCTGGATAAACTACCAAACATCCCAGCCATTCATCCACACATTAGTTACCTTCAGCCAAGAGTGCACCGCTTGAACCTATATGACCCACAGAGTGCTTTACCCTGCTAAGGTGCGGCAGCGGCCGCTTTATTTGCAGGAGTAGACAGCCCATTCCTTGCGAGTCTCAATCAAAGCTACCATATCGGCATCTGATGATGAGAATTGAGACTCCCAAACGCCGCGAAAGCACCCACCGCATCATCCGCATTCGCCCAAGACCCACGTCGCAAAAGATTGTCAACCATTCTGCCTCGTTAAGCAGCTGCGACAACACCCAGTGGAGCAGCATCGATTTGTACCATCGACCCACTGTGGCGCTCTTCTTCTTGTACCACCGCTTGCCACGCTGATTGCGCATCCGCCGCCCTCTCCATCTTCTCAACCATCTCCGCCCGGAGCGCCTTCACCCGCACTGCCGCCATTCCGGCCTCCCGCGCCGCCATCACGAACGCGCCCTCGAAATCCCGCACGTTCGCCTCCATCTCCTGCAGGTACGGCCGGTTCCCGCGCGCCTCGGCGCTCGCGGCGGATAGATTACGCGCCGCTTTCTCCTTCCGCTGTGTCGCTCGGTCAACTGCGCTAGCGGCCCCCACAGACGCGTTGACGGCGCCGCGCTCCTGATGCGCTTCTTCGAGCGCGTTTTCTGCGGTTTGGAGCTCCGCTTCCGCTGCCGCGACCGCCGCGTCTAGCTCCGCCTGCTCGCGTGCCGCGTCACGCTGTGTCTGCCGCGCCTCGAGCGCCCGGATGCGCATCTCCTCCTGCTCGATCTTCTGCGACGCGAGGGCGCGCTTCGCCTCTTCATACGCCGCTAGAGCCTCCGCCGCCTCCGCGTCCGCTGCAGAAACTCTCTTCGCCACCTTCACCTCCGCGTTTTCTGCGCCAGGCGACCCTGCGCTGTAGCTTTCATCTGAATCGGATGAAGCAAGGCCGAAGCCGTCTGGGGAGTCTGGTGTGCTGCTATGTTCAACGGCTCCTCCGCGTAGGTTCTTGTCGCGGGCAATGGCGTACGACTGAGTGGTTGCGGCGGTGGGGGGAAGGAGAAGAGTGAACGCGGCGGAAAAGATAAGCGCGCGGCGCAGGTGACCTAGTGACGCCATTCCCGCCCTAAAATGCTCGCAAATTTGATGGGTGGGCTGGTAATAGCCACAATAACAATGCTCAAGAATAACGCGGTGGGGCTCTCAATCTAATAGTCCAGGAGTTTTTGTTAGCGTCGAAGCTTAGGGAGGAGGCTTTAGCATGGAGCAAGTTCTAGCATGCTAATGTCGTACTCTGCATGGGATGCCCTAACGGAGGGGACAGGCTGTTGCGTGCTGGCGCAGCCAGGATGGCGTTTCGTTTTCACTCCCCGCGGTCAACGCAGCGTGCTTTTCAGGCGCAGAGTAAGGCGGATAAGGAAAACAACTGGCAGGCAGCAGCGTCAGTGTTGGTGGGCTTGGTGTGTAAGTTGGTAGCTCGACACTCAATTCCAGAGGGCTTTGTGTTGTGTTTGTGGGTTTGTGGAGTCGAGTCTCTTGACACAGGAGGACACAGCTTACTTGAGGCGCAACGCGCATGCGCGAGTTTGTCTATTTCGCCCGACGCGCCTAAGAATTACTGGATTGGCTAGCGGGAGTTCCGCCACTGGTTGAATGTGGAGGAGGGAGATTTGGCGAGTTCCTTTACGCGTTACTGAGAAAATCGTTTCCGGATAGAAAGTGCCAACTCCCTTTTAAAGCTAGATAAATTGCACTCTCGTATTTCATATGCAGTTCCTTTGATTAGTTGTAACACGCTAACCCATGTACTTGTAAGGAATTTCTGCAAAAGAGAGTTTTTGCTCTAGCACACGTGTCAACATCTCACATCCTCCCTGTCAACCACCTCTCTGCTGGAAACACGTAATCCTTTCGCACACCTTGGTGTCTTTTGCTTTAGCGAAATCGCAAGTTCATCGTCAATTAGAATCATTTGTCATTCACTCAAGATATTCCAGTTCGCCAACCTTCGTTGATCTTCGTCGTACCCCTGGCGATTATCGATCACCTCGAACTTGCCTTCTCTTCCTTAGCTGGAACTACTACTTTCTGTGGATAAGGTCCTCCTACTTTTAGAGCAGCCGCTTTTGGGCCGTGTTATTTTCTGTGACCTAATTTTGATTTGTCTTAGCCATGGCTGCCATCGCCCCGGCCGGGTCATGCACAGTCTCTGCTAGGCTGGTTGCGTCGCAACCTCGCCGCAACGCTGTCGCCGTCGCATCACCCTCCATCTCAGCCTCCGCTCTCGGTCGCAAGTTCGATGGCCTGCGACTCTCCGCGTCTCCCGCTTCCAGCGCCACGTCAGCCGGTCTTACCGACTCCTTGAGCCGCGTAGCTTCAACTAGCACCGGGTGTAGAGGCGTGGTTACCATGGGTATGGAGGCTGGAGTCGGGGTTTTGGGTAACAAGGTCGGCATGCTGACGTGGTTCACGGAGGACGGCAAGGCCGTTCCCTGCACGGTGATTGGCTTCCACGAGGGTAACATTGTTACGCAAGTGAAGACCACTGACACCGATGGTTACAACGCCGTGCAGGTACGACACTAGAGGCGAGTCAGGGGAAAGCAGAGCATGGAAGGGTTTTGGCAACCCTTTATTAGTGTCGCATTACGTCGAGGAGGCTGCCCTTTGGCTACTCTCGAGGCACTTGCTTTCATGGTTACGACTCTTTTCCCATGGGCCCCGATCAACCATTCAAATAAAGAAACGATTTCTGAGGCGCCTCAAAATTACGAAAAATATCAGTTACTCTTGGAGCTATTGCATTTTTGACATGACCCTCCTTCCGCTCGATTAGCATTCTAGTCGATTTTCTCTTCTCCATACAAGACGTCTCGATTGACTCGCTACGTTCGGTTCATTCGCTAGGCCTTACGTTCCGTCGACAATACCGCAAGCCTCTGAATGGTTGGATCAACGGTTGTTTTTTCGGGTCACCTGCAGTGGTATGGGGTTCCTTAACCGCCAGAAGGATAGAACGGTGACGGAAAAGCTGTTGCAACTTTTGAGACGTCTCAACAGTCGGTTGTTGTCCAGTCACCTGCAGTGCAGTGGGATCTCATTACCGATAACGGAAAATCTGTCGCATCACCTGCGATCATGAGATTCGGCAGCAACTGCTTTCTTCTCGCACACATCTATTGTTCTGGCGCCTCGTGGAGGTCCTTAGCGTAAGCTTTTGCGATCGTAGTGCCTTAGCGGTTTCCTGTAGCTCCTTCGAATCGAATCCTATTACTCGCCTGCTACGGAGGTTTTTTCCTGTACTCCGAACAAGGTTCTACTTTTGAACAAGGGTTAGCAAATCCAGTCCAGTTGCGGAATGATATCAATACCTTCTAGCCCCAAACAAAGCCCGGTTTTTTTCCCCCACTTTCCCTTTCCCAACCAGCCCGGGTAGCTCATCCTCCTCCTTCCATCCACCCCCTTTCCCCCTTCTTTCACTCCCTCCCTCCCCCTTCCTCCCGTTCTTCTCTTTTCCCACTCCTCCCCTTCCCCCCTCTCCCCCCCTCTTCTGCTTCCCCTCCCCCCCCCACCTTCCTCCGCCACCCCGCAGGTGGGCTACCGGCGTGTGCGCGAGGGGCATCTGTCGAAGCCCGAGGCGGGGCACGCGAAGAAGAGCGGAGCGCCGCCGCTGCGCCGCATGCAGGACTTCCGCCTGCCCATCTCCCCGAGCCCCTCCCCCGCCCCCCAACCAGCTCACTTCTCTCCCCCCTTTCCCTCCCCCTCCCTCCCCCTCCCCCCTTTCCTCCCTTTTCCCCTCCCCTCCCGTCCCTTCCCGCCTTCCCCCTCCCCCATTCCTCTTCCCCACCTCCCCCGCATTCCCCCGCCATCCCGCAGGTGGGGTACCGGCGTGTGCGCGAGGGGCGCCTGTCGAAGCCCGAGGCGGGGCACGCGAAGAAGAGCGGCGCGCCGCCGCTGCGCCACCTGCAGGAGTTCCGCCTGCCCGCGGAGACCGTGGCGCAGTTCGCGCCGGGGCAGCAGATCAAGGTGGAAGATCTCTTCCAGGCGGGCGATCTCGTGGATATCAAGGGCGTCAGCATCGGCAAGGGATTCGCGGGTGAGTTGGGGGGATGGTAGGGGGGGTTGTTACGGGGAAGGGAGGGGGGGGGGGTGGTGGCGGAAGTCGAGCAGATCAAGGGGCAGGGCAGGATCTCTTCCAGGCGGGCGACCTGGTCGATATCAAGGGCGTCAGCATCGGCAAGGGATTCGCTGGTGGGTGGGGTTAGCTACAGGGGGGTAGGGGTGGCAGGGGGAAGGTGGGGGAGAATGGTAGGGGGGATTGCATTGGGAGGTTGGGGCAGACGAGCAGATGAAGGTGGAAGATCTGTTTCAGGCGGGCGTCCTGGTGGATATCAAGGCTGTCAGCAGTAGGACGGGTTTTGCTGGTTAGTGGGGATAAGCCAAAAGGAGGTAAGGTTGCAATTCTCGTTCAGCTGAGACCGATTGGCCGTAATTCTCATCTCCCCTACTCCATCCATGCTTCCCGCCCCCATCTCCCCTCTCCCCCCCTCGTCCCTCTCTTCCCCCCAACCTCTTCATATTCTCATGCCTGTTTGTCCCCCAGGTGGCATCAAGCGAGTGAGCTTTGCCCGTGGCCCCATGACCCACGGTTCCAAGTCCCATCGTCAGCTTGGCTCTATTGATGCTGGTTCCACCCGTTGGCTGTGATTTTCATCTCCCCTCCTTCCCCCCTTCTCTCTCCCTGCCCCACCCCCCCGTTCTCCCCCCTCCCCCCCACCCCTCCCATCCCCCCTCCCCCACGCCCTCCGTTCTCCCATCCTCACTGCTTTCCATATTGTCACGCGTGTTCAAATGCCAGGTGGCATCAAGCGTTGGAACTTTGCCCGCGGCCCCATGACCCACGGTTCCAAGTCCCACCGTCAGCTGGGTTCCATTGGTGCTGGTACCACCCCCGGTCGCGTTTACCCCGGAAAGAAAATGCCCGGGCAGCTGGGTAACGCGCAGGTGAAAATCAGGAAGCTGAAAATCATGAAGGTTGACCCTGAGCTCCGGGCGGTTATTATTCGGGGGGCTGTGCCAGGGAAGGCTGGAAATTTGCTGCGCATCTGCCCAGCAAAGATTGTCGGGAAGAATGTGCCAACCAAGTGAGAGGGTAAGTGCAGTGCAGTAAAAGAATTTAGCGGATCATGGTGCGATTGATGCTTGGTTGCGCTGTGAACTCCTGGTGTGACTTGTATCTTTGTCCAGAGCATGATGACAAATGAGTAGATGTATAATTGCAGCTTGGAGAAGGTAAAGCAGCTCAGTTCACAACTTGACTGGTAGAGATAGTTGCCCACAAATTTCATTTACTGGTCCAAGAGCAACAATAGATAATGCTGGACGAATGATAATTATACTCTATGTTAGTGGAAAGCGTGCTTTGTGGCGAGGCTCCATTTTTTAACTTGATGGTTCACTCAGCAAGCACCTGCACTGTTACAGGTGGTTTGCCAGCTACGGTATGTTGCGCGCGCGGGTGACACTTCAAGCGAGACGCCATCCCATAGCACTTCGGCCATTTTCAGATGCATGCAACTTAGCCTAGGTGCGCTGTTCAGGTGCATGCTATCCCGTCGTTTTTTTTCCCTCTGCTATTACTGTTTGTACACATCAGCCACTAAAATCGCTGTTCTGTCAGGGGATGCTACCCGTGCAACACAAGCAGCACACGCAACACACGCAACACACAAAATTGACCTGGCAGGGGAGCTCGAAATGGAAAAATAAAACTCCTAGGGAACCTGGACATTGTTCGGGAGGGATCAACCCTAAAACACGGGAACCGTCCTGGTATTTAGGGTTGATGTCCCGTAAGGAAGTGCAAAGAAAAGAACAATTGGGAACCTGGACTCATTTTTCGGAAGAGATCAACCCTTAACACAGGAACCGCCCTGGCGTTTAGGGTTGATTCCTCCCGAGTCGCATGCGTTTCCAATTGGGTTTTATCTTTGTTTTGCCCGGTTTTAGTCAGGTAGGGCGATATGTATTGACCTTGTTCGCAGTAAGGCTGCGGTTGGACAAAGAGTTCGTGCAAGAGCTGCGCCAGTTGGTGTCAGTCGCGTGGGTAGCATCCTCTGACAGAACAGTGGCGCATGTGTACAAACAGTAACAACAGAGGGGAAAAACGACGGGATAGAATGCACCTGAACAGCGCGCCTAGGCTAATTTGCACGCATATGAAAATGGCCGCATAGCACTACCTAATCATGATTAGGAAGTGCGTCGTGTACATCGCTGTAGTTTATCCACGTCAGCACTGAACCTAGATTGTTTTCAGCATTTACGCTGTGTTCCAACATTTTCCAAAACAAAACAATTGGAGCTTCAATGCAGCACCCCTCCCAAGATTGGCCAGGTACCAAGCGCGGTCTCTACCCATACATATATTCCCTATCCGTTTGGAATGAGACTCAAAACAACTTTCTGGGTCAGTTTTAGCAAAGGAAATAGGCGAAACCATATCTGGCGTCCAAGCTTTGGTCTCGCTCTGGTCACCGCGTAGCCCACGTGTCAACTCTCGTTGGTTGGGGGGGGGGGGGGGGGTATTGCATTTGGTAGCGTCGGTAGCGCTCGGTAGCGCTACCATTTCCCTAGACGACGCTACCGAGTGAGTCAGCATGCTGACCGTGGGCAGAAAAAACTAAAACCCATTCGGACTCCATGCCATTCGGGAGCCTCAACCCTAAAATTTTGGGAAATTATACGCGCAGTCACAATTATGGCCGTATTATCACGTTTGGTCACGGGGTTATCACGGACAGTCACAGTACAGTACTTCGCTATCACGCATGATCACAGCGCTATCACGCTTGATCACTCCTCGCCCCGCAGGGTTATCACGTTTGGTCACTCGTTGAAACGCCCGCCAAAAGGTCGAAACTCTCAAATCTACTGTACAGATTCGGGTACTTTTATCTCGCGCGCGTTGTGTCTGTAGTGAAAAACGTGATGTGACTGTCGAAATATACTCGGTCCTTGTTAGGGACCGATGCAGTTTAATGCAGAGTCCGCATTTTGCAGTGAATATACGCGATCAATAGCAGTTTCGATTATATAATCACTCTTCTCTTTGTAATTGATACCTTGACATTATGTTTTGCACACGCAGTAATAAATAACCCAATTACACAATGTCATTTGCATATCAACCACCAGTCAATCTTGGATTTGAGTAGGCATACGATATGGTGAATTAAACAAGCTACAGGGAGGGAGGTATCAGAGGTAATCCTCCCTCTAGCGAGCGCTTGCCTGCAAGCTAACGTAAAGGAATAAGAGAAGAGAGTATCAGCGAACACGCGACACATGAAGTAGGAGGTCTAGCACTCGTTGACAGCAGCGCCCAGGTCATGCGCGCTCTGCGCCATGGTTAGGATCAGGTTGAGCATCCAACTGAGGCAAGGCTGTTGATCCCATCTGTTCATTTGATTGTTGCCTCTGTGCAAGTCCTTGCAGCAGCAAATGATATAATGTAAACTCTTGCCCATGTCGCAACCATTGCTGTTGCTGTTGCTGTTGCACCTGCAACACCTCCGACCCCAAAACCAGGCCTTGCTGCTGCATAGTGATTCCCCACCCTTGCTGCTGCATTCCCACTCCCCTCCTCTGTTGCTGCATACCATCGTCCAGCTCATGTTGCCGTGCCCGTTTTTCCCCGGCGTGCTGTTGCATCCCCACAAAACTGAACCGATTCCGATTCTGATCCCCCCCATGCTGTGGCATACCCACTTCCCCATCTCGCTGATGGGTTCCTACCCCCCCTACATGCTGCTGCATACCTTCTGCTCCCCCCTGCTGTTGCATTCCCACTCCCCTCTCCTGCTGTTGCATTTTTACTCCCCTCTCCTGCTGTTGCATTCCCACTCCCCTCTCATGCTGTTGCACTCCCACTCCCCTCTCCTGCTGTTGCATTCCCACTCCCCTCTTCTGCTGTTGCATTCCCACTCCCCTCCCCTGCTGTTGCATTCCCACTCCCCTCTCATGCTGTTGCACTCCCACTCCCCTCTCCTGCTGTTGCATTCCCACTCCCCTCTCCTGCTGTTGCATTCCCACTCCCCTCCCCTGCTGTTGCATTCCCACTCCCCTCTCATTCTGTTGAACTCCCACTCCCCTCTCCTGCTGTTGCATTCCCACTCCCCTCTCCTGCTGTTGCACTCCCACTCCCCTCTCATGCTGTTGAACTCCCACTCCCCTCTCCTGCTGTTGCATTCCCACTCCCCTCTCCTGCTGTTGCACTCCCACTCCCCTCCCCTGCTGTTGCATTCCCACTCCCCTCTCATGCTGTTGCACTCCCACTCCCCTCTCCTGCTGTTGCATTCCCACTCCCCTCTCCTGCTGTTGCATTCCCACTCCCCTCCCCTGCTGTTGCATTCCCACTCCCCTCTCATGTTGTTGCACTCCCACTCCCCTCTCCTGCTGTTGCATTCCCACTCCCCTCTCCTGCTGTTGCACTCCCACTCCCCTCTCATGCTGTTGCATTCCCGCTCCCGTCCCTTGTTGTTGCATTCCCCCTCCTCCCCTCTGCTGTTGCATTCCCACTCTCCCCACCTGCTGATGCATACCATTTGCCCCCACCTGCTGTTGCATTCCCAATCCCCCACCTTGCTGTTGCATTCCCACTCCCCTCCTCTGCTGTTGCGTTCCCACTCCCCCCACCTGCTGCTGCATACCTTCTGCCCCCCCTTGCTGTTGCATTCCCACTCCCCTCCCTTGCTGTTGCGTTCCCGCTCCCCTCCCCGTCTGTTGCATTCCCACTCGGTTCCCCTGTTGCTGTCTAGCATTGCCCCGCCCTCGCGACGGTCGACCTTCAACCCTCCGACGCCCCTGCCTACCTGCACCTCTTGAATGGGGTGGTAAGGAAGTAACCGGTCCATGCGGGTCTGTTGGTGTTTGAGCAGCTACTTGGCGCTGAACCCGGAGTCCTTGCGCCCGCCTAAGTCGCGCAGCAACAACAGCTTCCGCGGACCCAGGCTCATGCCGAGAGGTAGGCTGCATATGGGATTCCTGCGTTAGATGTTCGACGGTAATTGTGTCTTCCCCGCTCTCAACCCCTCGCCACTGTACATCCACCTGCCTCCTCTCCACCACTGAGCAAGCAGGGGCAGGAGCAGAAGCGGGGGCAGCAGCAGGGGCAGGGGCAGCAGCAGGGGCAGGGGCAGCAGTAGGGGCAGGGGCAGCAGCAGGGGCAGGGGCAGCAGCAGGGGCAGGGGCAGCATCAGGGGCAGGGGCTGCAGCAGGGGCAGCAGCACCATCGCCAGCAGCAGAGGCAGCATCGCCAGCAGGGACAGGGGCAGCATCGCCAGCAGGGGCAGGGGCAGCAGCACCAACAACATTTGCTCTTGGAAAAATGTCCACCGGCACGGCATCCGCATCATCATCTCCATCCAGGTCTGGATTGGTGCCATCAGGTGCATCATGTGCTACTGACACTGCGCCATCTTCCTCCGCATCACACTCCTCCCCCTCGAGTTCATCCAGTCCCACACCTGGTTGTGAAAAGCGTGCACGCCGCAACACCTCACACACAACTTGTCTCCCATGCCGTCTGTTGCACGCCTTGCATCTGATTGTTCTCACTTCCCCGTCGGCACCCGTCACCGTTTGAGCTTGCAACTGGCCTTCTGGCGTCAACAACGCTTCCCACATTGCTCTGTTGGCAGCACGCAACTCACAAGTCCGTGTGTTGTGCCCCATCTCCTGACACTTTCCACACTTACGCAGCCTTGCTGGATCGAGTTCTCCGATTGATCGGAGTCTGTTCACCTTAGGACGGCCGGACCTCTTCGTGTACACCGGGGGTAGTGTGACTCCATCCCGTGTCACACTTGTTGGGTCCATGGGAACTATCGGAGTTTTGTACACCTCTTGCAATGCAGCAACGGTGTGGTACTTGCTGATCATCGCGTAGGCCTTCGTTGCGTCATTTCTGAATAACGCAAACATATGGACGCATGGCAATCCGAATTCACTGCATTTGGACAAAGGTGGGATGGAATACAAATTGCGCATGTGGGTTTAGGGTAACTTCGAGTGTGCAAATCATGGGGCATTGTTTTCCACGTCATCGTACGCATGGATCACACATCAACAACACTCAATAAAGGACATGAAGCATTGCTTATGGAATCACAAGTTGATCGCGACAAGCACATTCCAAGACGGTATAGATGTGCAATTGCTCACCGGGTATAATTGCAGGTGCAATCTGTTTGGTCAGGTTGCGTGGGCGAGACAGTGATAATCCGAGTTTCCTCTCCACGAACCACCGTGTACTGGTTCTCCCCCGTCTTGGTGACCTTGTAGCCCCTAGTCCTCTCGCGATTGGCCTTCAGAATGTGCCCAGTCTTTGTAGGAAAATCAGAAGAAGACAATGATGAGTACAACATGCGCCTCTCCTCCCTCTTAGGAGCCAGTCTTTGGGTCAGCCCCAAAAGGACTTGCGGTGCGTTTCTATCCCGTAAGCCAGCAAGAGACGCATGGTGCGACTCCACGGGGTTAGAGGTACAACATCCAAACCGTGGCGTGCCAAAGAGTGTGGTCGCCCACTTCATGGACAACCCATTCTCCTCCAAATATGCAACCCCTCCAGGACACTCTTCCTCGATCTGCGCCATAGTTTCAGTATAGACTGCTTCTGTCAATGCAACTGCTGCCGCCAAGATGCGGCCATCCAAATCGGTCCCAAACTTGTTCTTGAAGTTGCGCACTAGATGAGTAATGCAAAAAGACTCGCGCATGTTTGGCAAACATTCGGCTGTGGCAGCCTTCCAAGCTCCACCGCGATCATGCATCATGACGAACGAAGATGAATTCACTTCTGGCACGGCCTCCAAAAGGAGTTTGAAAAGGTAGGAGCACGAGCTTTTATTCTCCCCTTCCACCCATGCGCAACCTAGCCTGACCAGTTTGTGTTCGCTGTCAAGCACACACAGGTTCAGCGTATGACCAGCCCATCTTGTTTTGTCATGACAACCGTCTGCAAAAATGATGGGCAGGCAATTGGACAAAATCTCTCTTGCTCCTGGGAAAATCACGCCAGCACGAAAGAAACGGTTGCCCCTCTTCTCCATTGAGACCACGCTGGTTGCATTTTTCACTTTGAAGTTGTTCAAAAGTCCCGCCATGTACTGAAACCCCAAATCCCCTCCAAATGTCTTCTCTTGCTTGAGCTCAACCAAAACGCCATGCGCAAGGGCGTACGAGCAAGACACACCAAGAACTTCGAGAACCCTATCCATCAGTCCCTTTGGCTTCAGTTCACAATAACGCATCAGGTCACGGGCTATCTCCTTCACCTCTTCTCTCCGCACTAGTCCATGAGTCGAGGTGCACATAGGGGTGTGTTCTAGATCTGCTACTGACACCCCAAGATTGCTTTTCAGCGGCCCTTTGATGATTACACGAAAAGGGCAACCCTCAGATGATCCTCCCATTCCATTTTTTGGCCATTTTCTCCCTTTCATGGTGCTGCACCAAACCTCAATGCGTGTTGCATTATTGCGCTTGAAATAGGGTTGAAACCCCTGCTGTCTACTAAAGCGCCGCACCTCAGACCGTGCAATGTCAGCTGAGGAGTAGAGTTTCCCCACAGAAATGTTGACATCGTCATGCTCCAGAACGCTACAAACGCTTTTGCACCACCAGAAGAAATATGTATGGCAGGGATAACGTGCATTTCAGGAACATCAGTAAGTTATGAGCCTTTGCACCATATGAACTGACAACATTATACCGACCATGCTTATTGTAAGACGGTTGCAATGGCTGCAAGAACTGACTTCACTCACCTTGTTCTAAGAAATCGGTACATTGAAGTGGCCACTGATGCCCTGCGTGGAAAGGAGAATGGAAACAACATATTCGCATGCATTATAATATGGAAATGGGAGAATGTACTCGCAGGGCATCAGGAGGATGGGGGAGACTTATTTGCCACATATAGTTAGATTGCTCCTACACGCGCTAAGCGAAGAGATCGCCTCCGCCAAAGCGCCAGATGCCACTAAGCGCGCTATATCGCGCAGCCATTGCGCCAGACAGCGAAGGGGCATGGGGGGCACCAGGTCACGCTGGCGGAGACATTCCGCCTAATCGCGATGGCGCTGGCGGCTGCGCCTGATCACGCTGGCGCAGCCAAAGCGGCAGATCGCGCTGGCGCATTGGCTGCGCCTAATCGCCTTTGCGCAGCCAATGCGCCAGATCGTGCTGGCGCGGGCGGTTGCGCCAGAGCGATCAGGCGCAGCCAATGCGCCAGGTCGCGCTGGCGCTGGCGGCTGCGCCTGATCGCGCTGGCGCATCCTCTGCGCCATATCGCGCTGGCGCATTGGCTGCGCCTGATCGCTCTGGCGCAGCCAAAGCGCCAGGTCGCGCTGGCGCTGGCGGCTGCGCCTGATCGCGCTGGTGCAGCCAATGCGCCAGATCGCGCAGGCGCATTGGCTGCGCCTGATCACACTTGCGCAGCCAATGCGCCAGGTCGCGTTGGCGCGGGCGGCTGCGCCAAAGCGCAATCTGGCGCAGCCAATGCGCCAGATCGCGTTGGCGCGGGCGGCTGCGCCAAAGCCTAATCTGGCGCAGCCAATGCGCCAGATTGCGCTCAGCGCCCTCAGATGCATCAACTGGTGCAATGATTACGTCACCCCAAGCTGCACCTAGAGGTACTAAACAGTTTGATGGGCCAGAATGTTGGACAACACTAATCGTTTGACCTAAACCACCTGTACTTAATATGTTTGACAACACTAGAGCTTCCGCCCGGACCCCGTTGCTCACCTGTACTTAAAAGCTACTATGAGACGGTCCAAGTCCAAACCCTAATTTGATCCAAGTCAGGTAGATGGAGTGATGGGTTGAGTTTGGTTGTACTTGCTACAATCTGATTCGGCAAGATTGAAACATCTGTTGTATTTTGACTATTGACTCAAATTTGTAGTCCCCACTCAAGAATCATATGCCACAGATTGTTGGTGTTTACACTCTAACCATACAAACTTGTATTGTAGCAACTCTGTACTTAGTGACCAAGGAATAAACACTTTTCCATGTTATGTGCACAGAAAAAAAAACAAATTCAACAGATCAATCAGAAAATGGTAAACGGTGAACGGTTCCATGTTGCCATAGTATACAAAATGGTGGAGCACTCAACCAATCTTTAAAACAGTTTAAGGGTACGAGTACATGTGTCGCACAAGCATTTCCTTGCACAACATATCCCCAAACTATTGTCTGCAGTTATTATTAAAAATAAATAAACTGTACTAATTTGTTGCAAAAGTACCAAAGAAAACCATCAATTCTAAGAAACATCATATCTTATCAATCGATTGTGCGCCTGACACTGAACTTGTTTTGAGCTTGTTAGCAATGTAGTGAATGAAGTGAACGCCAATAATAAAACTATTCGGAAGAACGGACATACCGTATGTCGAACTACCACAACACAATGTGTTAGACAGTATCAAACTATACAGGTTACAGTTATAAATTATTCACATCGGCATAAGCTTATATTACAAGATGCAATTACACTAAACATGTCCATCATAAATGGGTTTGATTAATTCTAAACAGTTAAGTTACACATATCAACCAACGCAATTACGTGTCGTATATGCATTTCCCCGCCTGTAACGTTCAATGGTTTTCCATCTAATATAAGTCAATTGTATGGGTTTCCCACCAGCTAAAGCTATTGTCACTGTGCTAAACATAATTACAATGCTCTCACTGTTTAAATCATTCGACCAAAACCCATGTCTTTGGTTTATGGATGAAATGCACACCATAAACTAATTATATAATCGAAACTGCTACTGCATCGGTCCCTAACAAGGACCGAGTATATTTCGACAGTCACATCACGTTTTTCACTACAGACAAAACGCGCGCGAGATAAAAGTACCCGAATCTGTACAGTAGATTTGAGAGTTTCGACCTTTTGGCGGGCGTTTCAACGAGTGACCAAACGTGATAACCCTGCGGGGTGAGGAGTGATCAAGCGTGATAGCGCTGTGATCATGCGTGATAGCGAAGTACTGTACTGTGACTGTCCGTGATAACCCCGTGACCAAACGTGATAATACGGCCATAATTGTGACTGCGCGTATAATTTCCCTAAAATTTTAGGTTTGATGCCTCCCGAATGGCATGCCTTCCGAGTGGGTTTTATTTTTTTCCTTGCCCGCTGACTCATTGCACTGCCTGCTGACGCAGGCAGTGCAATATTATTCCAAAATCACGCGCGGATCGACGCAGACAGGAACAATCTCAGATTAGGAGTCATGATCCTTCCTGTACTAGGTTGTTCACCTCCGCCTCACTATGTAGATAGCTCCCAGATAGAACGCTCCGCATTGTTCCCTCCCCTTACATTGTTCGAAGCTCCTTGTTTCCGTTCCGACTTTTTCCCGTTAGTTGTACTCAATTGACACCATTTTCCTCCCTTGGCTTTCGCGCCATGGCCAATCGCATCCACCGCCGCGCTCAAGTAGGAAATAGCTTGTTCACCGTATGCCTCTGTGTTGGCCTCTCGTCTGTCCTGGCCACACGTCTGCTTCACGAGACATTGCGGCTCCACAGCAGTTCGCCAGATCTCGCGAGACTCTAGCCGCATTTACACCAGAGATTGTTACTGCTGTCGAAAATCACGAAAACAGCGGCGGTCAGTCCTTGGAATCTGCCGTTCGTGAATCCGCCGCGGCTGACGCGGAAGCCGCCAAAGCTCTAGCGGAATATGAAGATGCGAAGAAGGCTCTCGAAGGAAAGAAGGTGGACGCGGAGGGAATAAGCTCGGAAGCGTCTAGACTGCGCGGCCAGGCGGAAGAGTTGGCGTTCGATCACGCCGTCATAGCCACGGAAGTCGCGGAATCAGCGGAGCGTGAGCGGAAAAGCACCGCGGACCTGAAGCGCGCGGAAGAGGCGGCGGAAAAAGCTGCGGCATACGCGGCCGGAAAGCGGAAGGTAGCGGACGAAACTTCGGCCGCGGCGGGGGAAGCAGCACGGTTGGCGGAAGCAGCCGGGACGGCGGAGGCGCAGCTTGCGCTCGTGCAGGCAAACTCCACACGCGCGGAAGCAGTCCGAGCTGCGGAGGTGGCGGAAACGTTGGCAGTAGAAGCGAAGAAGTATGCAGAGGAAGTGTGGGAAGCGTTCTCGCATGAAGAATCCGACATGGATATTTCTATGGTTGACCTGGTATCGGAGGAGGCTTATATCGAGGATTTAAATGCCTCAGCAGCAGGTCTCGAGGAGGAATATCAGAAGATGGTGACTGCAGTTGTAACGTATTACCCTAACTACCGAGCTAACAACCATCGATCTCTCTCTAAGTCAATTGTTGAGAACTTCTCTCGACAAAGGAAGAGTTGGAGAAGATGGTTGAGTTGGTTGGGATGAAACTTGGTTTGGGTTTGCCAAGCCTCAACTTTGGAGGTTTGGAACATTTCCAACTCAACCAATAGAATGTTGAAGGTTGGAATTCCAACCAATCAAAAACTGCCAAACAAGTGTTACAATCTACTCTATCCTAAACACAACCATTGAATGGTTCTAAGTTGGGTTTTCCAACCCAACACAATTGCCACATAGGCTCCAAGCCTAGGAACCATCCCACCATGGAAACCATGGTTGGGATAGTTCCCCAAGGGGTGTATTGAGGGGGTCTGAGCTAAGCAAGCTCATTCTGAACCTCCCACTCCAACAAAACAATTGGAAATGGGATTGTTTCTCTAAGTCCTTTTGGGCTCTCTCACAAGTCTCCCTACACTACTACTCCAAGTGCTTTTCATCAAAGGCATCAAGAAGATCTTCATCTCCAAGGCTATTAAGGCTAGTTAAAGCTACTATTTTGTATTGGAATATTATAAAAGCCTTGTAACCGCCATTATAATAGCCCTGGGCATTACATTGGTATCTAGAGCAAGGTTCTTCCTTGGCCTTGTGTGGCCATTTGCTACTTGGACTATTTTTTTTAGAGGATCCTAGCTTGTGGATCCAGGATTTCATCCAAGGAGCTATCAAGATCTTTTGAAGATTTTGAAGAAATTTCAAGATCTACAAGTGGTTCTTCAAGATCTACAAAAGCTTCTACAAGATCTCCAAGCTTCAAGCTTCAATCTCCTCAACACACCATTGGAGCTTCAAGATCTACAAGGAGCTCATTTTTCTTCATCAACATTGAGAAGAAATTTGAAGAGATTAATTTCTCTTACCCACCTTTGGTGGAAGACTCTTGATCTACTTTATGTAGAAGAGTGTACCTTCAGATCTATAAAGGGCTTGTTGAGGATTACTCTCTTGAGTATATCTTGCTCTATCATTGAGGTGATAGAGAGATTTGGCAAACAAGTCTATCTTAAGAGATTCTGTATTAGATTATTCTATAAGAGTAATCAGATTTCTTAAAGATTATTATAAGATCTGTTGAGATCTCCTCTCCTTAACCTGTTTCATGGCTGCTGGTCAAGAGATGGATGCTACTAAGGAGGTGCCCGTTGTTGGCACTGAGGGAGATAATGCTGCTGCTGCTGCTGACATTGATCTCAACCTTGAGGATTTCGTGGTTGACATGGAGATCAATGGAAGTGAAGCTGACCTTGAGGCTGATGCTGAAAATGAGGAAGAGGCTGGCTCTGATGAGGGTGTTTCCAATGAAACTGAGAACATTGCTGTCAAGCTCCAGACTCAACTCACGGAGCAGAATATTCTCATTGGAGTGCAACAGTGTCGTATCCAGAACTTGGAGGCTGATTCTGTTAAGCTTCAGGCCTTGATTGAGCAGCTGACCAGGGAGGTGCAGTTGATCCCTAAGGAAAACGATACCTCCAGCCTCATTCAGGACCTGCACAACACTCTTCAGTTCGTGCAGGATCAGCTCAAGAAGCAGGAGAAAAGCATCTCTGTGCTTCAGACCCAGTACAGGGAGATCCGGCGTGGAAACCTCTACCAGCCTGCTCCTGCAGCAGAGCGAGTCGCCAACGCCGCTAACAGCCGTGCTGCACCTGCTGATGCACCTCCTGCTGTTCCTCCTCCTACTGGAGCACGTGCTGAGCCTCCTACTGCAGCAGCAACTGCCTTTGGCTCCTGCCCTTCGGCCCTGCCTCGTTTTGTCCATGGCAAGACCGACGTCGAGACTTGGCTCTCCATTGCGGAGGACTTTATGTCCATCCACAATGTGCGTAGCGAGGCTCGTGTGGTCGCTGCAACCCTTGCCCTGGACGACACTGCGAGCAAGTTGGTGTATGCCAACAAGCGCCACGCAGAGGCTAATGGCCATCCTTTTGGCTGGGAGGAGTTCAAAGCTGCCATGCTGGCGGCATTCCTGAGTCAGCCCCCGGCGCTCGAGGTGCGTAGCCGCCTGGAGAACATCCAGTGCGGTGACCAGCCTGTACGCGAGTACGCCAAGGAGTTTGAGAAAACTCTGTCGCTGCTGAAGACTGCTCTTCCTGAGAGCGAGGTCATCCACCAGTTCTTCAAGGGTCTCCCTGAGCACATCAAGCGTGTGCATGTTGTGCGCGGGGAGCACCAGTGGAGGACCTACAAGGAGTGCAAGGAGCAGGTCATTGACACGGATGTGAATTTCCGTGCGTACATGACTCACGCTCGTGCTCAGCAGCAGCCTAGTGCCGAAGGCCCTAGGGGGGGTGGTAACAGGACTCAGGCACACAGGGGCAGTGGCTCTTGGAAGAGGCCCTATCAGCAGAAGGGGGAATCCTCTGGGACTCAGTCCAAGAGGGCCCATGCTGGGCCTGCCAAGGATCCTCAGGATGAGGATAAGCCCCCGGCAGGCTGCCGCATCTGTGGCAAGCTCGGGCACAAGTCCTATCACTGCCGTTGGAGGAAGTCCGTCAAGAACTCCGGCAAGCCCAACCAGGGCAAGAAGCCGGATGGTTCTGGCCCTTCGGGCCCGAAGGATTTTCCGAAGTCCAACTAGGGGGTGGGTACCTAGTTGGTGAGCGAGATCGAGTCGATGAGGCTTATGTCCTTCGTGATGAGGATTTGCTAAAGCTAGAGAAGCTTGCATCATGCAAAATCGCTTGTTTGTATGCCTCTTCTATTAATGAAAAATCTGTTTTTAAAACTCGATCATACCCACTTGAAAACATCTCAATTGAATCCTTGAGAGATAAATTTTCAATCATCTCTTGCTCGTTCAACGAGTTGCCAGCAATCATGGATATTGTGGACCGTTGTGTCCAAGAGCACCCGCTCACGTCAGTGGGATTGGTGACTCGAATCGTGAAAGGAGAGTTGTTCCGCCGATTTCACGAATGGCATATCCTGGCAACATGGGACAAGGGGCACCATGTTTGGTGGACCACATCCCAAAGGTTTGGACGCGCTCACAACAAATTTAGGGTGTACTTTCGACCTCCTAAACTTGTTGTCGCTTGTCCCATCCGTCCAAGATTTCAACAGAATCTACTGTTATCTGGACGCATGAATGGGGACGAAGCAAGGATTCTCGTCGATACAGGCGCGTCGGTTTCCCTTGTTGATGAAACTTGGGTTACGACACGCAACGTCCTCGTTGTAGGACCGTCGTGTCCCATCCGCTTGGGTGACGATCGTGTCATTCCAAGTAAAGGACAGACACATATCGACATGAAAGTACAGGACTATAGCGAAACAGTTCGCGTATATGTCCTACCACTTTTGTCAGGAGTCGACCTCATCCTGGGCATGGATTGGTTGAGAGCCAACGAAGTTATTCTGGACTTCCAGTACAACATTGTCTCGTTCAACAAGAACGGAAAGGCAATCCAGTGGCAAGTCAATGATACTTTGCCCACTGAAACACAGACGCCTGAACGTCCCAGCGCGCTGTGTGTGTTGGCCAACCAATTCGGGCATTCTGTTAAGTCGGCTGATACACTATTCGTGGTACAGCTTGAGAATGTCGAGGCCTCGGAGCCAGCAATTGAGGATTTCCCTCCTCAAATGAAAATACTGGCAGAGGAATTCAAGGAAGTGTTTGAAACCATCCCTGATGGACTTCCGCCTGACCGCGCAGTGGGTCACACCATCCCTGTTGAACCAGGAAAGGTTCCACCCTTTCGACCTCTGTATTGCCTCAGTCCAGCTGAGTACGAAGAGGCCAAACAACAGATCGAGGAATACCTCAGAAAAGGATGGATTGAACCCAGTGCATCCCCTTACGGAGCACCAATTTTGTTCGTTAACAAGAAGGGCGGAGGATTACGCATGTGCGTAGATTATCGTGCCTTGAACAAGATTACGGTGAAGAACAGATACCCTCTACCACGAATTGAGGATCTGTTCGATCGGCTCCAGGGAGCTCAGTGGTTCAGTGCGCTGGACTTAGCTCAGGGGTATCATCAGCTACGAATCACCGAAGAAGATGTTCCAAAAACGGCTTTCAGAACGCCGTTCGGGCATTTTCAGTGGCGTGTGTTAAGTTTTGGCTTGACAAATGCTCCCGCGTCATTTCAGCGAGCAATGAATGATGTGTTTCGGGAGGCAATCGGCCAATTCGTCCTGGTATACTTGGATGACATCCTCGTGTACTCGAAGACCGAAGAAGAACACACGCAACACCTGAAATGGGTGTTAGGAAAACTGCGAGAGCATAAATTCTTTGCTCGATTGTGGAAGTGTCACTTCTACAAACGCGAGTTGGAATACCTTGGTCACTTGGTAGGCAACGATGGCCTCAAAGTTGATCCAAAGAAAGTGGCGGCAGTCCAACAGTGGCCCGTTCCACAGGACGTGGGACAGGTCAGATCATTTCTTGGACTTGCGAACTATTTTCGCCGTTTCTTGGAAAATTATTCCTCCGTAGTCGCCCCACTGACTGCCCTCACTCGTAAGGGTAATGCTTGGCAGTGGACCGATCAATGCCAGAAGGCATTTGAGGAGGTGAAAACCATGCTGACCAATGCTCCAGTGCTGGCTTTGCCAGACCCGTCCAAGCCCTACGAGGTGGTAACTGATGCCTCGACAGTAGGGATTGGAGCAGTTCTTTTGCAAGAAGGATGCCCCGTGGCATTTGAGAGTAGAAAGCTTTCACCGGCTGAGCAGCGCTATACAACTTCCGAACAAGAATTGTTGGCGGTTGTGCATGCGCTACGAACATGGAGATGTTATCTCGAAGGTGTTGACTTTGTGGTCACGACCGACCACTGTCCGAACACCTACTTTGCCACTCAAGCCACACTCACCCGCCGTCAAGCTCGATGGGCTGAACTCCTGAGTGGGTTCACCTACGATATTCGATATCGAGCGGGCTCGACGAACATGGCTGATCCTCTGAGCAGACAGCCGATTGGGGCAGCAACGGGTGTTGATGATAAGGAACATGAAGCTGTGTTTGCTGCTTGTTTCAACATCCTCGCAGCTGCTCGAGTGAGCGAGATTGCCTTTGGTGGTTTTCTGAAACGCATCCGCGCAGGGTATGATATTGACCCTTGGTTTCAGAACCCACAGAATACAAACAATCTCTTGTGGGAGCATGAGCTCTGGTGGCACAAGAAAGAAATTGTAGTCCCACATGTGGGAAACCTGCGGAATGATATTCTCGCAGAGGTGCACGCCACTAAGTATGGAGGACACCTGGGTGTCAAGAAAACCCGGTGGGCCCTCAGTGATGTATACTGGTGGCCGGGATTGGGCATTGAGGTCCAGCAGTTTGTAACTCGCTGTGACACGTGTGCACGGAACAAGCCGAGCACACAGAAGCCTGGTGGTCTGCTTCAACCACTTGAGATTCCCGATGAACCTTGGGAGAGTGTATCGATGGATTTTATCACCGATCTCCCCAAGACGCGAGATGGTCATACAGCGATACTAGTGTTTGTGGATCGCTTGACCAAAATGGTGCACTTCGTGCCCACGACGACTGACGTGTCTGCGGAAGATACGGCAAAGTTGTTTGTGACACACGTTTTCCGCTTACACGGTTTGCCTCGTGTGATGGTGTCTGACCGAGACCCGCGCTTCACAAGCCGGTTCTGGCAAGAGGTCATTAAGACACTCGGAACGAAACTCAAGATGTCGTCTGCGTTCCACCCGCAAACGGATGGACAGACAGAGCGGACCAACCGCACTCTTGAGCAAATGCTTCGTTCTTTCATAAGCCCAACTCAGGACGATTGGGATGAATTGTTGTCAGTCGTGGAATTCGCTGTAAACAATTCTGTGCATGAAAGCACCCATGAGAAACCCTTTGTCCAGAACTGTGGTCGGCACCCCACAACCCCCGCGACGCATGGGATTAAGAACCTCAAAATCCCTGCCGCAAAGGACTTTATTGGAAATCAGCAAGCGGCATTGAAGTCCGCTCGCCATTGGCTGCAGCTTGCCCAACAGAGGCAAAAATCCTATGCCGACATGAAACGCCGGGAAGTCGTTTTTGCAGTTGGCGACAAAGTATTACTGAGTACGAAGAACATTCGTCTCAAGATCCCGGGAGCACGAAAGCTTTTCCCTCGTTGGATTGGGCCCTTCGAGGTGATTGCGCGTGTTGGTGAGGTCGCATATAGGCTCAAATTGCCTGCGACATTGCAGATTCACAACGTCTTCCACGTGTCTCTGTTGAATAAGTACGTTGCAGAAGGCAAGTACTTACCGCCACCAACCATCGCTCTCGAGAAGGAACTCTTTTACGAAGTCGAGCGTGTGCTAACGCACCGTGATCGACAACGCGGCCGCAAAACTGTTCGTGAGTTCCTAATTCAGTGGAAAGGCTATGGGCCGGAACACAACTCTTGGGAGCCTGAGGAACACTTGACCGAAGCAGCGGTTCAAGCGTATATGGAAGACCTGGCTCTACGAGCAGGCCCACAACCAGTGGACGGGGTTGACCCTGGTCGTAATGTGGTGCGCCGTGCTCGAAGCACTCGTCCTCAGAAGCACCCTAGGGCAACGGGGACGTTGCCACCTGGGGGGGGAGGAGTGTAACGTATTACCCTAACTACCGAGCTAACAACCATCGATCTCTCTCTGAGTCAATTGTTGAGAACTTCTCTCGACAAAGGAAGAGTTGGAGAAGATGGTTGAGTTGGTTGGGATGAAACTTGGTTTGGGTTTTCCAAGCCTCAACTTTGGAGGTTTGGAACATTTCCAACTCAACCAAGAGAATGTTGAAGGTTGGAATTCCAACCAATCAGAAACTGCCAAACAAGTGTTACAATCTACTCTATCCTAAACACAACCATTGAATGGTTCTAAGTTGGGTTTTCCAACCCAACACAATTGCCACATAGGCTCCAAGCCTAGGAACCATCCCACCATGGAAACCATGGTTGGGATAGTTCCCCAAGGGGTGTATTGAGGGGGTCTGAGCTAAGCAAGCTCATTCTGAACCTCCCACTCCAACAAAACAATTGGAAATGGGATTGTTTCTCTAAGTCCTTTTGGGCTCTCTCACAAGTCTCCCTACACTACTACTCCAAGTGCTTTTCATCAAAGGCATCAAGAAGATCTTCATCTCCAAGGCTATTAAGGCTAGTTAAAGCTACTATTTTGTATTGGAATATTATAAAAGCCTTGTAACCGCCATTATAATAGCCCTGGGCATTACAGCAGTGGAGGTCGCTAAAGCGAAGGTAGAGGAACTGAAGGGTCTGGCAGAGGAGAAGGTGGCACGTGCGAAAGCGATGCGAGCTGCTCTGAGGAAAGGCAGGAAGAGCAACGGCCGGGAAGGAACGACAGCCACGCATTAGTTCGAGAGTTTCATATTTCCGTTTACTCCACAGGGCGAAGGAGAGGAGATGCTGTGGCATGAGATCCACAGTGGCATGATTAGGGATCACTCCTTCAGAAGCCGACTCAGCACTCTAGGTTCGTCAACACTGGAAAGTGCTAAAAATACTCATGCACAGGCGGTGCTTTTCAAAACCGACCACTGCCAAATAATGTATGACAGTGTCCACACGTTTGATTTTAACCGCCGGTCTAGTTCTAGTTAGCATT